CGAAGCACCCAGTGACAGGCTTAGTCTGTCACTTAGACAAGATTTTGTCACATTATTCACCCAGAAAGTCTTGGGTTCATAACAGTTCCAGAATAAAATAAACCTATATTGGCAGAAAATTTTAGGCCTAGATATCTACAGCTACACAAATCTTTTACTAGTAAGAAAACATCTCCAAAAAGTGTAGCTTTACCAGTATTGTTAGTCTGGCAATAATTTCTAGAGGTCTAACTATAAAAGCTAGCACAGCTATTGCCTGCGTGTTTATTCTGCAGCGTATTGTGTATGTCAATATGTTTCTAAAAAATTAAACAAGCAGAAAGTCCAGTTTTCAGTTGACTCTACATGAAGTAATTGCAACTCCACTGGATATTACATAGCAATTGTTGCATTTATCTAGCAGGCATAACTACACGCGTTAAATATTTTAGCTGGTAATACAGTTCTAAAAGACACCATTTTTGCGTGGATTGACCACAGACACATTTACTTAAATCAATCGGTTTACATGTTCTTGCGCATTATGGCAATCACACAGTGGATGTATTTATCTACAAATTGAAGTTTCGCTCCTCTAACTGTAAGTGAGGAACATTGGCTTTTTCTGCTTTACTAGCTTTATCTTTAATCATGCTTACAGAGAGTCCTTAATGGGTTGTGAGATCCAATAATTGAGGTGGTAAGGTTAATGGGGCATCTTGTTATGCTACACGTTTTTGTTGCAAATAATTTTATATATTAAATGCATGAAATCTTTGCCATAGGAAAGGGAGCCAAGAATTTGAGTGGCTAAACAAGGTGGGTCCAGCTAATGGCTGGTTGCAAAAATAAAGTCTAAGAACGATGAGAGCAGCTGCCTTTAGAGAATGACACAACTAGAGATGCAACCAGTATCTGAAATGTGGCAGGGAATGATTTTGTCTAGCAGTGGCATATCTGAGGGAGTTAAAATAACAACGGTTAAGACCTGCACTTGTGATTATCTTAATTCATCCTGTAAAAGCCAGGAGATACTAATCTCCATTCAGTGCCTTTTATGTATGTGACCTTACCTGCCATGCCCAGACCTGTTGATCATCTCTCTGGCCACCGAGATGCTGAGCATCGCCTCCACTTTCGGTGCAGAAATCAGTACAGAGACATTTTTTATACGGACTAAGGACTGTGGTCTAGACCATTCCCTGTCAGGATAATTTCTGAGATAGGTTTTTGGCTAAGTGGTCCATTTGGTAAAGGCATAAAGTTATTTGCTCCCTCAAACAGCCACCATCCTTCTGAATTTATGCTACAGGAACCACTCGCAAGCTTGGTTACCTGCTGTGACCCTTGGAGACCATCTGTTTCTCGCACAGGATCTTTCCAGTGGTGCAATATGGAGAATTTCTGTGGCAGTGGCTGTTCTTATAATGCATCAAACAGGGCACTGCAAGAAAGGCACACACAATCCTTAGGACATGCAATATTCCATATTATCTCTTCTAAGGAAATGCTGCCAGCTGAAGGGGCAGCTGTTGCCTTACTCACTGCACCCAGGCAAAGGCTGTGCTTCCCTCCCTGCCACCAGTACCGCTTCTCTGCTTACTGGGCCAGCAAAGCACTTGACTTGAACCCCAAATTTGCTTGCTGTAATGTTTAGAGAACTGAAGAAGCTGTGCTGCTCAAAAAGCTCAAAGTACTGTGCTTTTGTACAGTCCTGATTGTCGATAAAATGTCATTTAACTGAAACAAAAGTACTGATTGTCAATAAAGTACAATTTAACAAAACAAAAGTCATAATTCTTACAAAAAGCATCACCAGCAGTAGAGGCAGTAGAAGTGATCCAGAAAATACTGACATTATTAAAACTGGACGTTCAATTTTTTTTTTTTAATATCCAAACTCTCATGTTCAAACTCAAACAGAATGACAGCAGGAGCAGTAGGCATTTGTAAAGTTGTTATCAGCCTAAAGCTCTGTTAAAGAACATTAGCTAAATGTGTTTCTGCTACTGTGCTTCTACCAAACATGCACTCCTACACACCCTGGAATCCATACGTGAAATACGGTGTGAAAAAGGTTGCCACAATAACCCTCCTGTGTGTATTGGGTACCTTTCTTAGACACCTGTACATAGAATAGACAGAAATGTGGCTTTTAGCAGCCAGATCATTCATCCCTAGGACGTAAGCAATTCCATGGGATGTGATGAAACTTATTTTAAAAAACAAAGAAGGAACTAAATGTAGCATGTAATCATTTAGATCAAGACTGGAGGAAAAACGGTCCTGTTCAATGAAATGTACAGGAAACATTTAGGAGGCCAGGATATAACTTTCAGGATTGTTAAACAAAGAGAGAAAGAAAACTGACAGCAGTTTTGTCATTTTTCATTAGAATTTTGAATTTCCAACAACCTCCATGGTGTTCATTTTGTACTTTATGGAAGTGCCTTACACAGAGCTAGAGAACTAACAGGAGGTTTGCATGTTGATGTAACTCCCAGAGTTAGCCCAAATCCACATGTGTGCAATGTATATAGAGAAAAACTGTTCACACAGTCTTACTTAAAGCTGCTTAACAGCTTAAAATGATAAAAAGTCCTTAACACAATTTAAGAACTTAAACCACTTAAACCGTTGGAAGCAGCTTGTAAGTTTGAAGAGTTTTGGCAGGGGTGGGAGAGGCATCCCTGCTGAGCTGCAGCTCCGGGGATGGAGCGGGCAGGCTCCCGTGTGGTGTGTCCAGGTGAAGGGGCCCTTTTGGAGCCAAAGCTGGGAGGCCTGGAGGTGACGTGGTGGAGAAGATGGAAGAGTTTTCTCTGTATTTTTATGTAGTGTTGTATATGTGCCCAGACTGCTTTGCTTTAATTAATGTGGCAGGGAATCTTACAGGTATGTGAGGAATAAGAATTGGCATCCCCCCAGTGAAAGGGGGATAAGGGTGGCAGAAAAATATTGTCTCTGACAAGTCTTCAGTTGTGGAAAACAGCTTCAGCTCATGGGCCAAGAGAAGGCTCCTCAGGAGCATTGTGAAGAAACCTGCTGCAAGAGCTGCAAGGCAAAATGATTTGCTTTTGTGGCTCCAGGAGCTGGAGGTAGGTGGGAGGTGGTACGAGCTATTCATACGTTTTGAGGAAGAGGGTTTTTTTCTGAAAGATTGTTTTGGGGAAAAAAAAAATGGGGTGGGGGAGGCAGGGAGGGTTGCTTTAGTTTGACTGGTCTCAAACAGCATTAGTCAGCTGTTCATATCAGCACCACATCACTGTTATTATGTGAAGTTACACATTTATAAAACATAAAGTAAACAATTATTTATGAGATCCAGTTTGGTGCCAGTTGCTGCATGTGGTGGTCAATGGTTGAATGTGTGTGGATGCTCAGATGAGAAAGATGGTGGCACTGCACAGAAGCAACACTTGAGGACAAAGGAAGGAAGGAGGCACAGGAATAGGAATGAACGTCTGAAGGTGGCAAACAGCTAGGATGCTTCTTCTGATGGCAGCGATGCCACCTTAAATGTTTTGAAACCTGGCCTGGTTTTCATTGATGCAGGCAGTGATTTACACCTTTCTCTGCAGAAAAGGCTGTGAAACAGGAGTGAATTACATTCTGTACAATTTGAAAATAAATGGTGCATTCACAGCCGCTCAGGCCGAGGCCCATTTACACTTCCAGAGTGGTATGATGAGTAAATGAAAGTTAGGCCTGTGTGTGAATGAAAAATGCCTGTTTTACCAGAGGCTGTGAAAAGTGTGTGAGAGAGAGAGACTTAGTGGAAATTGGAAGCGAGACTTTTATTTGTTTGTTTAAAACAGTCGTATTGATTTGGAGTCAGACGGAGTATTGGTGTAACTGCAAACTAATTCCACTGAATTCTGCAAGGCATTTCTGGTGATGCTGATGGGGCTGGAAGTTTTTGTTTATAATCTGAGTTTTTCCTGTGCTCGAGTAAGTCTTTATGGCACTACGTCCTTGTGCAAACTTGGCATTGTAATACACAACATGAATGTTGCCTGTCCAAAAAAATCTTCACTGGGGTGAAAAAGAGCTTGGATATAGAATCATAGAATCATAGAATGTTTTGGGTTGGAAGGGACCCCTAGAGGTCACCCAGTCCAACCCCCTGCAGGGAACAGGGACACCGCTAACTAGATCAGGCTGCTCAGAGCCCCGTCCAACCTGGTCTTGAATGTTTCCAGGGATGGGGCCTCCACCACCCCTCTGGGCAACCTGTTCCAGTGTTTCACCACCCTCAGTGTAAGCCGCAATCAGGTCTCCCCGCAGCCTTCTCTTCTCCAGGCTGAACAACCCCAACTCTCTCAGCCTGTCCTCATAGGAGAGGTGCTCCAGCCCCCGGATCATTTTTGTGGCCCTCCTCTGGACCCGCTCCAACACTTCCATGTCCTTCTTGTGCTGAGGGCTCCAGAGCTGGACGCAGTACTCCAGGTGCGGCCTCACCAGAGCAGAGTAGAGGGGCAGAATCACCTCCCTCGACCTGCTGGCCACGCTTCTTTTGATGCAGCCCAGAGTGCGGTTGGCCTTCTGGGCTGCCAGCGCCCATGGCCGGCTCATGTCCAGCTTTTCATCCACCAGCACCCCCAAGTCCCTCTCGGCAGGGCTGCTCTCGATCCTTTCTTCCCCCAGCCTGTACTGATACCGAGGGTTACCCCGACCCAGGTGCAGGACCTTGCACTTGGCCTTGTTGAACCTCATGAGGTTCACACAGGCCCACCTCTCTAGCCTGTCCAGGTCTCTCTGGATGACATCCCGTCCTTCTGGTGTGTCAACCGCACCACTCAGCTTGGTGTCATCCGCAAACTTGCTGAGGGTTAAACTCATATGATCTCAATACAATTAAATTACTCCTTGATTTTCTTTTATGATGAGGAAAGAGATATGCAAATGTGGCTCGGTGTGGGTAAGTGCTTTCTGACTAGTGACAGACATAGAAAATATTTATTGAATGAAATCTTGGTAATGTACTACGTAATACTAATATCTCAATATTGCTTGAATTTCAGAACATTTCAGGATCTGTCCAAACAAATGGATATATCTTACGGTACAGTCAGGGATTCAGCAGTGTATGAATACTTTAAAGCAAAAGGGACAAACCCTTTGGAGCAGGATAACACCTTTGCTGAGCTGTGGAGGACTATCAGTAAGAATAACGGGGCAGATAATTGTGTATCGAACCCTTCTGAAGGCATCAGGAAGGTAAGACTGGATCACAAGAGTTTTGACTTAATTTCCATGCTGTATCAATGTTGTTTGCGTGGAGTTAATAATGTGGAATTACAGGAAAGCAGTTATGTAGTAATTTTTAAAAAAAACAATCCCTAACTAAAGTTCCTTTTAGTAACTCTATGGCAGATAAGAATCATATTTTGGGGTCATGGATTTGAATTTAAGTACCTTAGCTCTGCCTAAGTCTTCAGTATATAAGTCCTTCTGTGGATCTGTCCATAAGGTTTTTAAGTTTTTTGTGAGCTCCAATAATACCATGCTGAATATCATTCATTATATTATCCAGGTACTGACTCTTGTCCTTTGCCCATTTGAGTGTTGTTTTTTTTTCCTGAGTTGATGGATTGAACTTATTGGAAACATGAATAAGAGTCAAGGGATTCACTGAATGTGTACTCGTTTCCCTTAGAACAGAAATTTAATGCAAGGTTTTCTTTGGTTATTCCAAATGTAAGGAAAATGCATATACTCCTTCACGTGTCACCATGCTTTCACCAAAGTTTTATTTCTCTCAGATATGACTGCAAAATTTTTTTTTGTGAAACTGAGCATTGATGTGGGCTTCAAGGACTGATATATAATGGCTTGGGATCCTACATCTTTGTGTGGAGTCCTGTGATAAACAGCCCTGGTTCACATCATGCAAATAAACCCGTCCACACATTCTCACTCTTAGCCTACCTCTCCTCTTCTCTGCTTCCAGTCTTGTAGCTCAGCAAAACCAGACAGCAAACAATATCAAACCACACGTGTCCAGAAGGGATGCAGACATGGTGAAAGTTTAATGTGCTGCTCCTTTAGTGAAAACTGTCCCCTTTATTTGTCAATTATTTTTTTTTTTTACAAAACAAGCAAGCAGCTGTAATTAACATAGTGATTGATTAAAATTATTCTGACATCAGTGAAACACTGATTCTGAATCAATTTGTTGCTAGTTCTTTATGCTTTTGTAAGTGGGAAATAATAAAATGGTTGAGGTTTGGGTGTCCTTTTTTCCTTTGAATCTTTGAAATCTTTTCTCAACAGTCAGAGGGAAAGCATCCAAAATTTACTGTTTTTTACAGTGCCATAACTGGGCTGAACCACAGCAACACAGGCAATCCCCTTTCCCAAATCAAAGTCCTTTAACATAAGATTCCCGACTGTTTGTGTGACTTTTGGACAAAATCCTTATACAAACACTCTTGTCTCTTCCAGCACAGGAGTATTTATTTAGTCAAGAGTTTTGCTTCACCCTGCCTTTTCTCCCATCTCCCAGCTGAGCTTTCCTAAAGCCCTCTGCACTCAGCCCAAGGAGCCTTTCTGCCTTGGTACAAGGTAGAGCTCTGGCAGTAGCAAAGTCTGCAGTCTGCTGATTTTTTTTTTTAAAATCTGCTCAGCACTTTATGAAAATGAGGCCTCTATTTTGAGATACTTTTTTAGCATTTAAAAGAGGTAGACATAGAGACATTAAATACTTTTCTATGTAACCTGGCATTAAAACCAATAATGAAACAGTTTCCCTTAGACAAATGCACAGTATTTTACTTTTTTTTTTTCTTTTTTTACATGTCAGTGGCTGCTCTTTAGCTGTGAGTTTGTAAATACTCGTATTCTGTAAGCCTACTGCATGCTGCCATTTACGATAGCTAGATTTGCCTAAGCCAGAAATGTAACTGTAGATTGGCAGGCTCTTTCGAATACCAATTACATTGTCTGTATGGAGCTGGCAGCTCCATCCTATCTATGTAATAATAACTTTTCATATTAAGTTTGATTTCAGTATTGTTGGGTGATTTTTATATCATTTGATCAGCTCATTCAATTAATGTCAACAATAACCAAATTTACTTCAGTCCCCGAAGCTGACCAAGGCTGCTATTTGATTAGACACCTACATAAATTGGGCTTAATATTTAATGACATTGTCAACTTAGCTGTTGTGTTTATAGTTTAAACGTAGCTCTTCCTAGCTCATTGAGCTCTTTGAATAAACAGACAAGTTTTCCATGTCAAGGATTATGGGTAGAAATTCTGTTTTTCTAAAGGAGAATTGATGTCAGCAAAGGAAATGGGACTTCCCATCCATAAACATGTACTGCTGCATGAGAGAGATGTATATGTGTGTTTTATAGGAAATGGGAGATCTAAATCTCTCTAGCATAAAAAGATCCCTAACGCATTTTTCTGAAGGAGGGCTTGCCTGACACAATGCAAAAAAAAAATGTCACTGCTACGCTTTCTCCCTTCCTTCCCCTTTCCCTTTTCTTCAGACAGCACAGTTCAGCTGCAGTTACAAACAGAGCACTGCCGCTTCAATGCAGAGCAGGAGAGTGCTGCTTATTTATGGTACAGGCAGGTATTTCAGATGTTTGTCTCTGTTCCATTTACCTCTCTTCATTTCCCAGAGATTTTCCTACTCCCTTTGACTGGCTAAAAACAAATGGATAATAGGTGAAGACAGTCCTGAAAGCTTTTGCGGTGTTTGGTTGCCATGGGAGAGGTCTCTTTTCAGACACAGCACAGACCCTGTAGCCACAGTGACCATCTCCCATTGTCGAGGCAGAGCTTTTGCAACCCTGGTGGAGCCACGGAAAGGGCATTAATGCACTGCAAAGTCACATAAGCGACAGAAGGATGTTTTGGAGCCGGAAGGGCAAGTTGCTTTTGTTGTACTCATGAGGCAATTTAAAGTGGTCATTGCAGATGGAAAACGTCCCCCTGTTCATAAATGCCGCTACATAGGATAAGAGGAGGTTACCAGACAAATCACCGGTCCATACAAAATGATATTTCACCACTTGAATTTTCTGGTACTAGGTGAGGATTGACTAATGCTGTTGTACAGAAAGTTTCTTTCTGGGTCAAGCTTCAGCCAGGATCCCCAGGAAGCAGGCAGTGGGTAGCTCCTGCCATCTTATCCCAGGTGGACATTGGCATTGCAGTCACACACATTTCTAAGCCATTTGTAAACCTCAGCAAACTGCATAATAGCTGGTGGCAATCAGTTCTTCGGGGTAATTATTAGTTGCCACAACGCATGTAATAACCTGTGGCTTTTTTTTCATTGTGGGCAGCTATTTTTGCTTTGAATGAATGAAGTAATATGATCCCTATGTATTCCCATGTATACATATATCTTTTTTATATATATATATGAGAATTAAACTGTTACCATATTTTTTAAAAGTCTTGCTTTGGTGGAGACTGTTTGTTCCCCTGCCCAATCAGTTTGGTGCCAAAATTACTCTGAATCCTTTTTCTTCTTTTGTATCACTTTTGATGAAGAAATCAAAACCAAGTACAGTAAAAAATGTGAATGTATCTTTGATTCAGTCAATGGCACAGCAAGAGTTTATTCCTTCCCTTTTTTACTTCCTTCAAAAAATTTCTTTCTCTTAATGAATGCTAAATGTTAAATCAGAGCATTTCTTGTTGACCAGTCACCTCTGCTCATTTTTATTTTGAGGGTAAAAGTAATTTAAAAGTTCAATGAATAGGATTTTTTTCATTTTTTTTCCCCCCAATAATTTACTGTCCACAATGGATTTTATATTGTCAATTGTGGTTGCTCATCCATATGTTTTCATGGGTACTCATAAATTTCTCTGTTTCTTGACCCATCAGCCTCTGGAATGAAAGCAAATGATTCCTTAAAGCCTCAATATATTAGTGGCTCCTTAATTATATTAATTTTTAGATCATTTGAACAGGATTACATGGCATGTTTTCTTTTTATTAGAACTGTGTTGCTTCTCTTAAAGCACTTTCTTATAGATAATAAATGTTATCCAAGCATGTTTTTGAACTATTCCACTAATGCCAATGTGAAGGTCACTGTTTGGTATTTCTGTGTTACCAGCCATATAATGGGATCAGCTACAGTGACACTCTGTTCTGCCAGGAAATTAATGATGAATGTTGCATTATTCTTGAACTTTTGTCTTTAGTATGGTAGCTTCTTCATAAGTTTCAGCTAAATCACAGACATATCAGTGATTAATCTGAAATTCATCTTTTTTCGAGTTATTATTCTTTCTTACCATGCTTTCTTTGAAAATCCATCCTTTTACCATCAGTAAACCAGGATTCTTTCAACACTATTTCTCCATCTCCCTCCATGTTGAAGAGTGACATTATGAGGTTGCCTACTGCTTTTCTGAAGTAGTACTATTCTCTTTGTGGTCCTTCTTATATCCAGGAGGCAATCTTCCTTGGCCTTTTAATTTTTTATGATTGTGAAGAAGAAATGTTTTTAATATAAGTTTTGCCTAGGGGCTTCTTTTTTTTCCCCTCAAATCTGTTTTCTTAAAACCTCTTCAACCAAAGATAAATCTGGTGTCTTTGGTGTAAACCACCATAGTAGTTCCACCTGGGTGGGATAAATGAGAGCTGCTTTGGCTGAATTTCTGTTAAAGAGGTTTTTGAAAGTTTAGCCGAGCTGTTGTTGTTTTGTTCTTCGGTATGCCTGCATGCTGAGAGTCGCAAAAAGGCCATAGCAAAGGAGCAAAATATGAAAGCCAGTTAAAAGTCTAAAGGATAAATTTTAGCTTATTCTGTGTTTCATTTCAGTCATTCTTTATTCAAGCTATCATACTTATTCTCAGCTGTTATTCGCCACATTCCCTTTTACCATCTCTCTCTATATATTAACTTTGCAATGATGTCTGATCCCTAGAACATCTTTATTCTATTTTGGGCCCTAAAAACATACAATGCCAGCTTTAGATGGCTGAGCTGTGAACGCAAGAGCCTGAGGATATGGATCTTTGCTGTATCGTGGTCAGGACTTGGTTGCATGGGTAGGTACATCTGCGTCATATGCAACTTGGGAGCCTTGGTGCGTTCCCTGCTCATGCATCCCATGGGCCGGTGCCAGGGTGTTTCCTGCAATTCTTGGTCTTCCTACTTCCAGTACTGCTCCAGCCTGGAAGCTGAGGGATAAGAACATGTGCACACACACATTCTTTCACATGACAAAAATGAAAAGTTTAAACTACTTTTTAAAAGTTTGCTGATGATTTTTGGTTGAAAATAAGTGTCAATTTGATATTATTTGGCTTTTACTGCTTGCCTAGTGAAGGTATATAAAACGTAAACATATCTCAAACATGTGTATGTGTTTGGTTGTGTGTCTTGTACATACGTTTTTCAAAGTTTGTCAGTTTATCTTCAACTTGAACAAATGGTACTGCTTAGCTGTCACAACAGATATTACAGGGATGTGAAGAATGCTGAATTTAGACTACAACTAAACAGTTGGTCATAAGGAAGCTTTCCATGCAATGAACATTTCTTCAGAGAAGAAAATTACGCAAGTGGAAGAAGTTTTGAAAGAGACAAATCTTTTCTTAGGAAAAAGGGGTCTTTGGAGATTCTGTTTCTGGCAATCAGAGAGGGGAAGCAGTCTTACATCCAGTATTCGTGGGAGTTGAGAAGTATGCATAACTAAGAGTTTAAAACTCAGATTCCTGTTAATGCTAGAATGATGAAGCTGTTAGAGAAATAATGTTCTACAGATGTGATGGCACTGGATAGAATGATTTATGTCATAGAAAAATGTAAAATTGATATGAAGAGACCTGGTAGACTTTGTTTATTGACCACTTGCAGTTGTAGGACGTAATTCAGGATAGCAAGATTGCAAATGCAAGAGAAGTAAACCTTGTCAAAAGATCTGCTGTCTAACATTGGAAGTCAGTGTACAGAGCTCTTCTGTATAAAATAACATACAGAAAACTGAGGCTTGAAAAGCAGAATCAATAATGTGATTTTTCTCTAGACACTGCCTTTTAACTGAAATTGAATATTTGAGGAAGACTGTGTTCCTCAAGTATTACTGAGGAAAAGATGAGGCATGTATGACATGTTGTCAGTGTTCTCCTTTTGTAAATTGGAAATTTGAAAAGATGATTTACAGGGCAATTCTGAAACAACTAAAAGATCCAGCTATTTAAAACAGACAAACAAACATAGAAGAAAAAAACCAGAAAAATGCAAGACATGTTTTAGCACAGTGTTTTAGGCCAAATCTTTTCTGGGTCTCCTCTTTCTGCACATCCATCAGGCAAGTTTTTGTTCTCTAATAGCATAGATTTTTGAATAAATTCTGTGTACGGTAACAAATGCTGTTGTCTTTGGTCCCATGAGTACATATTTTTAACGCACTGGGATAGTTTTCTATCATAGGGAGCAAAAGCCTGTGTACTATTTACCATAGAACACAGCCTGTCTAAGATGTGCAATAACAGGGCTTTTGATGGTCCTTCTCTGCCAGGGACACCAGTGGGACTGATGCCCCTTGCCTGTTGTCCTTAACCAGGTAGGAGGCCTAGCAGCACCACTGCATATGTGAAAGCATAAAACGTGAATTGTGGAAGCCCATCACAGGAAGAGCAGAGGGCAAGATGCAGAGATTTGCTGCTAACAACCCAGTTAGTTATGGGTACATGATCTTTCAGAAAATACCTTTGAAAAGCACATTTTAGTCTTCCAAGTATGTAGGTTGCTGGCTGAATATAGGCTAGATGCCTTGAGGAATCACTTCCTTGCCATCCTTAATTTTTTACGCATCCGTGTGTTGATAGGTTATGAAGCCTTTTCTGGCTGTCGCATATAGTAGAGAGCGATTTGTTTGTTCTTTCCTCCTTTGAGCCACTGTTTCCAGTTTAGGTAGACAGCCAGGGATAGTATTACAGTGTAAATGTGGAAGTCTTGCTCTGGTCTGGTGTCGTACAGTGACATTGAAGTGAGAGATATTTTTATGAACATGTCAGTTTAGTAAGTTGTCAGCTAAATCAGTGTACAATTTTAACAGTAGAATCCTGTGGCTCCTATTTGAATAACTCCTGTAAGGCTCATACTGTAGTTTAGATTTTAATGATGTTTTGTACTAGCATAGTAGTAGTTGTCTGAGGTTACATGCATTAGTTACCATCACACTGAACTGACCAGGGAGGTGGCAAAGGAGAAAGTGGGGACAAACCCACAAAGGTGCCATACCCTTAAAAACTATTATTTTTGAAGTGGTCAGCGCAGGCTCATTTAAATCTTTCCAAAGAGGAAGGATATAAATTTTCTACTCTGTTTTAACTCAGAACCAAATGAATTTGGGGATCTTTGATTGCCTTCATGCAGATAAAAGGGAAGCGGGGAGGGAGGGGAAGAGGTGGATTGTGGCAGGAAGCTTACAGAAAATCCAGACAACATACTTTTAATCTGTTTCCCTGGATTCTACCCACTAGGGGATAACTCACCCACCTGATTTATTGTCATGTTTAAACAACTGTCAGGGACTTCAGAAAGCTATGGTTTATATCAAAGCATGGTGAAGTAAAATTAGCTTAATTGCTCAGCTGAGGAATCCAATACAATAACACAACTAAGGGCGTCTTATAGGCTTACCGGTGAATTCAACACTGAGCTTACACAAAAATGGAAAATACGTGGAAGGATGAGCTAATTCCATGTCAGAGCAGCAACCATTTGCTAGGGGAGCTTGGTGATTCAGTTCCCATAAAGAAATATATGCGGGACTTCAGCTCCCTGCCTTGCTTTTTTCTGACCTAAAGAAAGATCTGAAATTACCCAAAATTAAAAAAAAAAAAAAAATCCTACATTCGTGACTACTCATTTATTTGCATTAGATGTTCCAGCCCATCTGTTCCGTTGTGCTCTGTATGTTCACTAGAGACTTAAAAACATGCTACTTAAATACATTAGGAAACCAATGATTACTTTTACCAAACAAAATGATGACTTTTTTCTTTACTGAATCCCTATCCAGAGATGTTTCTTACATCTTATGTTAAGGTGATTTACACTCATCGTACACACTGCCTGCAGGCATCAGTTTGAATCCTGAGTGAGGCTGACATTTAAGAACATCTGCATGGGTGTGTGCTAAAATAAAACAGTATTTGTCACAAAACTGGGATCATAGGATGCTGGTGACTCTTCTTACCTGTGAAAAAAAAGAGGGAACTCTTTAAGCTCAGAGCATGCCTTTTGTTACAGGACTAACATAGCTCTCGGAAGGGGCTTTGTTTACAGATTTATATGAGGAAAGCTATAAAGTTACCATTTTGGTGACTGTGGTGACCAGCAAGCACCACTTGGTGCTCCCACTGTACCCGGCTAGTTACATGAATGTATGGAACCAATTATGCTTCTGCTAATCCATGTCTCCTATAAAACAATACATCAAATTTCATCAGCTCAGGCAATAGCTTTCATTTATAATTATTTACCTGTTATGTAAGCCTTGCCTACACTTACAGTTGGCTATGTTATCCTATGTATTCCTATTAGAAGACATTTTAGGAAGGTTTGGTGTGGATGAGGTACTGCTGGGAGGGAAGAGCATTAGAAGTGTATTAAGGTGTTGGAGGTCTGCAGATAAACTGTGACCTAATGAAATACCACCATGGAGTAATGACAAGCTCTGGGTTTGTTTGTTTGCTTGGTTTTTGTCCTACCTAGAAATGTAGTTTTGTTGTGTTCATGATGTATTTACAGGCAAAGAAAGGAAACTATGCTTTCCTGTGGGATGTGACGGTGGTGGAATATGCTGCGCTGACGGACGATGAATGCTCTGTGACAGTCATTGGAAACAGCATCAGCAGCAAAGGATACGGGATCGCACTCCAGCATGGAAGTCCTTACAGAGATCTTTTCTCTCAGAGGTAAACTGAAACAAAGTTCGTTGTATAGGATTCCTCTCTACAACCAGCAAGGCATGCTATTTGTGGTTCATGTGAATTTTGGCAATTATTGAATAAAAGACAAGGAGTAAATGACAGCAGAGAGGTTGTGAGCTCAGGCTTCAGCTGGTACTTCTGCTCCATGAGCATCCGCTTAGGGAGGAGGGGACTGGAGGTGGCGTGTGGCCTCACACCTCCAGACAGCCCTGCCTCTGGCAGAAAAAGGACAGATGTCCTCAGAGCTTTGTGTGAGCTAGGGGAGGGATTGAAGAGAGATCTTTGATTCACGCTCCATTTTGCAGGCTATGAAGCAATGTGTTGCTCCCTATAGTAAGGAAGTGATAATGCCCTGGTTCATCCTTGAGGATGGAGAGGCAGGTTGAAGCCTCACAATGGTACAGGAAAACAAGAATTGCTGAGTATTGCATGGGATTGCCAAGACTATGACATGATAAGACTATGCCATTTCATGATCTCTGAGTTATCAGCTAGGAGTATCTTTTTGATGTGAATGTGTACGCTTGAAATGAAGACATGCAGTTTTGCAGGCATGTGTGGCCTTAGCCGAAGGTGAGCGGGTGCTCTGCTCCAGGCAGGGAGCTGAAGCAAGATTTCCTCATCTCGCGCCTTCTTTATAAAAAAGGGTAAAACCCCAGCTGCATAACCAGAGACAAAGCTGCCTCAAGAGGAAAGATTGTTAGTAAACAGCTAAAACAGTTATCAAACCAAATCCAAAATGAATCATTCATGGTGAGAAGGGACACTTCACAAGAGGCAAAACAATGATTAATTAGCAACTGTTAACACAGTAATTCAGGCATGAAGTAACAGCACTGAAGTAAAATCCTTTTGAATAAAGTACATTTGCTGAAGTAAATGAGTCGGTCGCTGCTTGAACAGATTTGTATCAAGTGGCGCACAAATAGTAGCATGTTTAGTCTCACCTGATTTTGAAATTACTGTGGGAGAGCAGCAGTGGAGTGGGTTGAGCATTTCAGTGGTGGGACCAGCTGTTGCAGCTGAATGTCGCCAGACCAGCCATGACTAACTGGAGTATAGTGATTTCCCTTGGAAACGCTTCTTGCATTGCAGTGGAATTTTTGACAGTCTCTTCTTTTTCTAAAGTTACCCAGTGGAGTTTACCTGCTGCTGTGAGTAGAGAAAAATCCTGGTATAATGGAGTTTCAGATGAAGAATACTACACGGTGGTGGTGGTGGTGGGATGGAGTTTTGAATTGTGGGACGGTAGATTTAAGAGTTACATGACGTATGGAAAGGACCAGAAAACTGTGAAAAAGTATCATGAAAATAACACTTGTCTTTTCAAATTTCTGCAGGATCTTAGAGTTGCAAGAAAGCGGAGACTTGGATGTACTTAAACAGAAATGGTGGCCACGGATGGGACGTTGTGACCTGAATAGCCATACCAATGCACAGACAGATGGGAAGGCACTCAAGCTTCACAGTTTTGCAGGCGTTTTCTGCATTTTAGCAATAGGCCTTCTTCTTGCATGCTTGGTGGCAGCATTGGAGTTGTGGTGGAACAGCAACCGTTGTCATCAAGAAACACCGAAAGAGGTCCATAACTTTTATTCTTATCACAATTAAAAGTAGAAAACACAAAAGAAAGAGAGAGCGAATGGAAGTTGTGGGATTTTAGGTGCTCTCATACAATAAATCTGGTTTATTTTGATTTGCCATACTAAGCTTTGCATATAACTTTTTGGGTGGTTGTTGCTAAACAAATAAAAAAAACCAAAACATGTCTTTTGTGCACCTGGAAGGTGCCAAACTGACAGCCCTGGAGACTAAAGTCCTCTATTTATTTATAGAGCAGATACAGCATGGGCAGCAGCAGTGCAAACTTCCCCACATTGCCCCACCAATGTGCCTCAACCCTGACCTGGAGAGACCACCTTTAGGGGTAAGAGAGTAGTTCAGAAACATGCCCTTGGCCTCTCTGCTGTGAGTGACGGGGAGGTCCCTCACGGGCACCCAGTTGTGCCGTCTGTGCTAATGTTTTCTCTGATCTGAGACCCCATCCATCAGCTGCGAGAACCATGTCCATCCTGCACAGGCTGTGCAGCTGCCAGCAGCTGGTAGCTGTTTTCCTTCATGGCTGACCTAGGCTGAGTTTAAAGAGGTACACGAGCAATTAAAAATAAACCAGCTAGTTATGAACTGAATAAGCCATATTGCCATGACACTGTTTAAAGGCTTCCTTTCTTTTGAAATCAGTTTTATTTCTAAAGGTACGAGTCTCTGAGTAAACCAACTTTCATATGACATATTTTACCTAGGAAAATGTATCTGAGACGTTCTTGGTTTTGAAGTTTTCTGGCACAGCAGCGAGTAATAGTTAGCAATGCTATGATAGAATGATCAGTCCATACTCAGATCTGTCTTGCATGAAGCCTGTATTTGTTTACATAGATTAAATGTTTAACAAACTAACCTCTTGTAATTTTGGAGACACTGAGGCATTTGTAGGTGCTTTCGTCTTGGAACAGATGTTTGTGACAAGCAAATAATAGCAGCGAGCTGCACTACAGCTGGAAAATAGTGCATAGCCCATCAATTCCAATCTATGTTTCTCAGGTTGCCAGGAGTACTACACTAATTGACGTACCTATCACCTGTAAGCAATTCTGGCAAATGGGATCTGAAGATATATGTTGCAGTCTGTAATGCTGTGAAATATTTATCAGTAAGATTCCATTCTTCTGAGTTCCTGCTTCTCCCATTTGAATTCATCCGTCAAGTGCTTGGTGATAAACATCTGTATCACGTTTGTGGCACAAAGCTGCAAAGGCACTTGCCTGTGGCTCCGCAATGTACAATAGCAAAAGGAAAATTTTGGTAAAAGGAAGTATGTCTCCGCTTTGCACAACGCAGCACTCCAAAAGCAGGCACAGGGAGAGCACGAGTAGGTACTCTTGCTTGTAAAGAATCTCTCATAGGAACAGAAGTGCATATTTAATTGCTCTTTGGTTACATACTGTAGCATTTTGCCCTGCTGCCTTGTAGAAGTCACTCCTGCTGCAATCCCAAAGGCCCCAGCCCGTGTTAGCATTGCTGAAGCCTAAACCCGAGCAGTGACCGTTCACCGCCCACTGCGAAAGCCTGGCAGGGCGAGGGGCAGGGACGCTGCCTGGAGCGTCCTCGGGCTGCGTGCACACCAGCACCCGCTCTGCCCTACCCTGCGTTCCCCTCTCATCGCCCAGGGACTCGCCTTTGTGCATCTTCGTAGAGCGAGATGAGAATCTGCCCCCAGGGCAGAGTTTCATATAGGGAAGGTGAAATAATTCACTCTTATTGCAAGGAGTTTTAAATACTCTCATTCCACCTCTGAAAAAGGATGTGTCTTCCTGGCTTATCCCCTTCATTTCTCTTCTTATATCTGTGAGGATTATTACTGATCCCTGCCTACCCCGTCCCATCTTTTTCTCCCCTTCCCATCCCTCTCCTCCTCCCCTTTCCCTCCAGTATGTTCTCAATTAGGGTTGCTCCGTACATCCTCTGTTGCAGTTTCCATGACAAAAAATAGAATACTTTTAAGCTTCCATTTTTTAAAGTATTACTGAAGTTACCCATACGGTAAAGCTGTGCTTGGGAAGATCAGCCGTGTGTGGGGCTGGGCCTGCCCTTAGAGCCCAGCCACTCGGGGTTAGGGGAGGCAAATTAATTTCAGGCAGAGGATGCACAAACAGGCTCAGAAAAGGTCAGTGGTGGGGGTGCTGCAGAGGGAGAGGGAGGAGAGCCGGCGGGAGCCCAGGCACAAGCAGGTGTTAAGGTTGGGCGAGCAAGTGCGCGTTCCGAAGGAGAAGGGCGCAGGGATGGGGGGAAAGCGTAAGGGGGGCAACGTGGGGCAGAGGTGGGATTGAACATGAGGAGGGGTCCCCAAAAAGGACAGCTGGGTGCAGTGAAGGGCAGGTGGCTAGAAGCGCTTCTGGATCAGCAGCTGGAGGGAAGGGTGCCTGCCGCCCAGCGCAAGAACAGGCAGAGGCTTCAGGGTTCCTCTGCTTCACGGTGACATGGCCGCGCTGTTGGTAAAATGTGAACTCCGCTTCCCCCCCGTGCCC